TATTGTTCTTCTTGTTCGAAGCCTTGTTCGACTTGGTCCTCTTTGCCACTTCGATTTCTTTGTTTCCTGATGGGTGCTGGTCATCCATTGTTCCTCTATCGTCCTTATTTTGAAGCACATTCTGTGCTCTCACTTGCAACTCTGCATTTTGGGCTTACATGAACCTCTCTATGGACTTCAAAATAGTGGTGATAATCACCTCCTTCGAGTCATGTGGGTGAATTATGTACCCTTGATTTCCTCTGAAATCCTTAGGATGGTACCTGACTCCGAACGCTTCTTAAGAGCTGATCTTGCTTTTCCTGGGTCTCTAAACACTCTGCATAGCGATCCGAATACAGCTATGTCTCTCACGCTCGCTGTACTGCCAGTCAAAGCCTCGTTTGGTGACGTCCTTCCAGCATTCGATCTGGTTGAGCTTCTGTTCAGGATGTAGCTCGCGTATTTCACGGCGTCGCCCCAGAATTGTAGTGGTAAGTTGCTGGCAAACAGCATGCTTCTTGCCATACCCATGATTGTTCTGTGCATTCGTTCGGCCTTGCCGTTCGACACTTGATTGTAAGGTTCCGACATCTGCCTCTCTACATCAGACTTGTTGCAGAACCAATCTACGTTGGCATACTCGCCACCCTCATCAGTACGCAGCACGCTAACCTTGCAATTAAATCGCTTCTCGAAATACGCTAAGAAATGCACAAACTGCTTCGCTGCTTGATCCTTAGTTTTAGCCAGGAATACTAGACAATAATTCGTCTTATGGTCGACGAAGTTGATCAAGTATCTAATGCCCAATCTATCCCTTGGTGTGATAGGGCCCTTGATATCACTTACTATGACACCTAGCTACACAGACTTTCCGTGTATCATTTGTTATTCCTATGCCTGAACTTGGCGATCCTTTCGATCGTGCCGTAGGCCAGATGTCCCAAGCGCAGGTGCAAGTTAATCAGGGTGTCCCTCACAGGGGCTATACTATCTTTCTTTGCATTCGATGTGAGTGCTGAGAGCGCTGTCTCGGTCGGCTCTGCCTCATCGCATGTATTCTCTTTGACTCTACACTCCACTGTGAGCACTTTGTGCCTTTTAATCACGTCTGTTACTTCTCGTTCACTGT